CCCTGCCGGCGGCACCAACATTTTTCCAATCATAATCTGTCAAAAATAATGAATGACTCGGAATTTAGTATGTACTACTACCATTTTGATGTCAACTTCTGTCACTCTATTTATATTGAAACATGCTTAATTCTTTCTTACCGCTGAATTTTCACAGTAAAGTAAACATACTCAAAGGTCATAGATAGGTTCAATCGAAGTTTAAAGTCATCAATGAGATTAATCCTACTTTAAGTCAAGTCAAAGATGAGATTACTACCGACTTCATGACTTCATCGAGAGCGTTTGTCACTATCCCTTCACCGAAACTTATAAATCCAGCAGAACGTGAGAAAAATGATTTATGTCAAGAAAAAAAAATTCAGAAGTAAGCAAATTCTAAATTAAAAATAAAAATAAAAAATAATTATACATACTAATAATAATTTGTAAAGATGTACCAAAATTTTAAGAGAAGTCAAGAGAAATATCAGGAGAAATGTCTTCCGCAGTAATTATTCTACTCTTATTTTGTTGAAAATTCATAAATTATATGTGTGCAAATGCAAGAATTTAAAAACTGACAATATATCAGGAATATTAAATCTATCATATTACTGTTTGCTGAAGTGTAGTATTTTGACCACTTTTCAGGCCTTTTTTGTTAGTTATGAATAGTTTTTATATTACAAAGTAATAGTCTTAAATGGTTTGCCAACGCAAGCATTGCTCTCTGAAAAGTGTGCTTCATTCTGTCTCCAAGTTATTCAGAACATTTGAATGAATACTTTCTGTTGTGCTAGAGAGCATTTGAAATTTCTTTCTGACACAATAATCTCTTTAATTGTTCTCATTCAGAAGGCACTGCTACGAATTATTTTTACTTACTGAAAACAAAAAAGCAAATCATTTCATTTAAATAAATTTCTTAATTCTTTAAATTGTTTAGTGTAAATGATCATTACAAATTTCATGCCGTTTAAAAGACTTGCATAATCATAATATGCTAAATAATAACAAGCTGTAATATGCTTATAGCACGAAAATATTTTAAAAAAGTAATGATAATTTGAGCGAAAAAAATAAATATTACCTTGCGCAGTACCAAACATTAAATTAAAATTGATGTTAATTTTTTTAAATGTTAAATTTTGAGCTAAGCATTGTAACAAAATAAGTAAGTATTT